TCTTATTTAATATTATAATTTATTAATTTATTAATTTATATAGAATAATTATTTTTTATTTTATTTTTTATTTTTTTATTTTTTTATTTTAATAAAAATTTCATAATTAATTTTTAAAGTTATATTTAATTAATGATTAAATGTGTATATAATTATATGTTTATATGTTAAAATGCAACCAAAAATAACGTATACAATATACTGATTAGGCGTAAAAAATCTAACCAAAATAACGTATACAATATATTGATTAGACGTAAACAATCATAATGTATATAATATACTGATTAGACGTAAACAATCCAACCAAAAATAACGTATATAATATACTGATTAGATGTAAAAAATATATGCAAAATTCTGTATACAATATACTGATTAAACATAAATTCCGTGTTTTTTTGCATACGAAAAAAATCAATTTTCAGTATCTAATATATGGAAATACTAATCAAAAATAACGTATACAATATACTGATTAGTCATATAAAATCTATCAAAAATAACGTATACAATATACTGATTAGACGTATAAAATCTATGTAAAATTACGTATACAATATACTGATTAGACGTATAAATTCCGTATTTTTTTGCATACGGAAAAAGTCGATTTTCAGTATCTTGTATATGGAAATATTTACGAATTTATTATACTGTTTGTCTACGTTTTTTATATGTTTATTAAACGTATTATTTCCGTATACTTTCCTTATACTAATTATTTATATGGAGTTACCAAAAATCTACCTTGAATTTGAATAATATCTCCTTTCTTAAACCTTTCTAAGTCAGTATCTTAAATTGTATCTTTTGGATAAAAAGCTGTGATATGGATGAAAATATTGATATTTTGATGTCGAAAACTAATTATTCCTATAACATTAGCTATAAACTTTGATTTTTCAGCCATTTCGTTATGTTGGTCTATATAACAAATAGTATTAAGATTACAAGGCATTTTTGTTGAATTTTTTTTTTATTAAAAAAATGACAAAAAGGTATATTTATCTTAAATTTTTTTTTATGAGAAATATTTTTCGATAATGAAAAATTTTTCATGTGAAAAATTAAAGTTTATTTTTGAATATTATTTTTGTCAATTGAAATAAAACAACCCGAATTTAGAGTATTTTGATCTGAATATTTTTCTAAGAATTTTAATATAAAAAATTTTCTCATGTATATTACTATATTTTGTTTGAAATCATCTGAATATTTATTTTAATTAACTATATAAAATTTAGACCTCTTTATCACATTACAATCACATTACTATAAAAAAAGTTTTTTTTTTATTTTGAGAAAAAAATTATTTAATCAACTTCAATCCATTGAGGTAAAAGCCTTTTCCTTCTACCTCTTACCTATATAGAATCACATCAATAAAAATACTCATGATACAGTTAATGTTATTTAACAATTATAATAATAATGAGTATGAGGTAAGAGATAAGAGGTAAGGAAATGGCTGGACGATAAGGCAGCACAAGTAGCCAAAATAGGAGATTTTTTTTTGTAAAAGGAAATTGTTTATTAAACAAAAAAAAAAGTACAATATAGATTTTCATGGTAGCACAGAACAGCCTTTATATTATTATCTTTAATGATTTAACAAAAAATTCTTAAAAATGCTGATCATAGTTATGTCTAATATAGTTATTTTAGAATCTGATAGAATTCTAAAAACGAATGAAGGAATATTTCTATCTACAGAAATATAAATAAGATTTCAAATTAGAGTCGCATGATTACTTAAATATAGTAGCTGATGAAGCAATCTTTAGAAAGTTAATCAAATAATGAGAACAATAGTCAAATCTGTGTTCTATTCTTGGCCAATAGCAAATATTAAAGGACACATATGGAGTTCTAATTGTGTTATTTTCAAGCTATAGAATTTTTGATATTGCAAAACCATTAGAAGTCAAATTCTGGATAAATTTGATAAAATTGTAAATTACTGTTCTACAGTTCGTACCTTAGAATTAATATTATGTGCAGTATCTATTGTTTATTGTGTTAGAATTCATGTTAGTAATTATAAATTACAAAAAAAATGTTTTGGCTTATTTTGCAGAATTATTTGCATCAGTGAAAATCAAATTATTCAGTATTAGTTATACAATACCTTGGAATATTAGCTCAATATCCTAAACTTAAAGAAAAACTAAAATATGTATCATCAGTTAATTTCAGCTATGCGTGTAACTTCATTAACTGAAATTTTTAGAACCCCACCACATTCAAATCTTTCCATTGACGGAATGTCTTTTTGCTTTGATATATCTGCATTTTTGCGTGGTTTTTTGGATAAAGTATCTCGTTGTGAATACCAGTAAGTGATTGACTCTTTACTTTTATATTGTCGATTGTAAATCCATCTATATTCATCGGCATCTTCAATTAATTCAACAATTTCATTAATGAGGTCTTTACTTGAATTGACATGGAAATGCCATTCCGATTGTACATTTTCCAAAGATTCTATAATAGTTTCGCTAAGGTAGTCTATGTCACAGTATTAGGTAAATTATTATTTGTATTTACAGGACTTTTTCGTTTTTTAGAGAATCTTTGACGACAATTATTACAAGTTTTAAATTTTTTAGAAACACCTCCAGCTCCATTGTCAATAAATTCTGACGATACTTTAAAAGTTTTACAGCCGTATTCATCAAAAAAGATTTTATTTATTTCAGAAAGGTGTATTAATACAAAAAAAGATATGCTTAGAGATTTTTTTTTATTTTTCTTTTTATTTATTGATATTGATAACAAAAGTCAAAAAAATAAATACACGAAAATTAATAGATGCAATTAATAAATATACAACGAAATCTAAACGTGTAATAAACACGTATTAAGTAATAAAAACGTGGCAAATTAATTGATTTGTCGGTGATGCTGGGGAAGATCATGAGACATGCAATCACATTAATCATGTACTGTCAAAATTACCTTTTTTGTAATTTTGAAAAGCTTATCAAGTGTATATATATATACCCTCAAACTTCAAAAAATCAAATAGTCTCGTGTCTTTCTTTATCAAATCTTAAAAAAAATATAAATTTACCTTTCAAAGTTCTCAAATGTCTAATAATAAAATAGTAGGACCAGATACTTCTGGAATGCCTTATTTTACATTAACTGCAAACCTCACTCCACAGGAGCTGGCAAGTGCATCTACTGCCCTTCTAGATGCCGTTAATTCACGACCGAAATTAACGCAGGCTTATCGCATGGAGGTTAAATTTTTACAAAACTCTGCAGAGTTCAGAATTTGTCTTGACACTGTAGTGTGGTATGATTGTTATCTTCGAGTAGACCCCGATCTTAACAAAGTAGTTGAAATGGCAAGAAAATACATATCAACCACACGGAGAGAAATCCCTCCTGATGAAGATGGACCTTTTGTGATTGATTATCAAGAAATTGAAAAAGAAAAGGCTTATATACGTTGCACAAGACCTCACAATATCAAAAATCCTGAATCTAAGTGTAGTAAGTATACGATTCTCAATGTTCGTATAATGTTCAATGCCCCCATTTTGTCCTCGTGGCTTTCGCTTTAACTTTTTTTATATAATACTAATCATTCTGTTAATTTTTTCCGTAGAGTACGACCATCCTACACTAATATGCAACGGGAACGTAATTACACGAGATGGTCGTGAAACAACTTGCAATTATTACTTTCCTTCAAAGCTTACAGTTCAAGAATTATCTACAAAAGAGTTTGTTATATTATTGAGACGGGAGCCTATTAGGGAACTATTAATGTTGCCCCTTCCTATTAAAAATAAAGATAATTTTAACCATTTTGATAATGAGACGTTGGTGAAGAACAGTGATTTCTGGAGTGACTTGCTGAAACAACAGCAAAGCTTGACTTTTTATTCAATAGCGCTTAATTACGGTCGATGGGAGACCCAACAGTCACATGATAAGTATGCCCAGGCATGCCACGCGCATGTTCACTTATACTTTAATAGAGAAACTTGGGAGAGTCTGAAAAATATAGTGAAAAGTCGAGAGATAATAGCAAAGATGAACGCCCGAAAATATCCCGGGCCAAATTACTTACTTAAAGACTGTATGGAACTGGAGCAACAACGTTTACAATCAGCAGAGCATCAAAACATGCTAAATATTAATAATTCACTCGTTAATACAATCAATAACAATTTTAATTCACTCATTAATACAATCAACAACAATAATAATACACTTGTTAATGCAATTGAAAAGCTTTCGAAAAAATTGGATGTTTAGTTGTCTATCTCAAATTATTGATTGCCGAAATTAGTTAAATAAGTTAGAATGTTTGTCACATGGTCAGTACATTTTACAGGCTGGTACATTATTGGTAGTAGGAAGGGCTAAATAGTGAGTGTTAGTAAATAATAATGATATTTAAGCAGAATTTACATCATAATGATTTGTACTTATTTTTCATGCTATTCACATTAATAAAAACATTGCTATAAAATTTGCATTTAAGTCTTTTTTCAAAAGCAAATCAATTATAAAGATGAAGCTTTGACAAGATGGATGTGATCATATTCTATCCTACTGTCGTTATGACCCATTCATGCTTATACACTTATTTTTAGAGGATTTATTAATAAACCCGGCTAAGAAGTCTCAGTTTTTTCCGAAGTTTAATTGTACATGCGATAGGTTCATGCATAAAAGCAATTCACAAAGTCTTCTGGTTAAAATATCCCACACAAAAGTGTCTTAATAAATTTACGTACACGTAACTCGGCTCTTTTCCAATTTTATCACATAACTTGAGAAAGCCGAAATTTTACAAAAAAAAAATGTTTTCAGGTGCAAGGTAAGCTGGCTGATTATAACATACCGGTTCTCTTTCGTGCCTTAATACACTTTTTTATTTAGAGCGATTCTTGGAAAAAGACAAAAAAAAATATAACTCAGAAAGAAAACAGGAAAAATGTAGTCCAAAAGAAAAAGACAAGAATTACTAAGAAAGATAAGGCTCTGGATAACGATAAATTTGAAGAAAAAGCAGACGAAGCTGACTTCTTTTGTACAGCAATACCAAATCCAGTACGAAGGCAGTATTGTCATGGGATGCAGACACGAACATGGACTAGACCGGACCGGACTGTCCGTGTTCATGTCCGAGATTTTTTCATGTCCGGGACTATTTGTCCGCATTAATGCTGGCCATATCTCTTGTTAATTCTGGCCAAAAGATATCTAATATCCCAACTGTCCTGCGGATACAGTCCCGAACATGGACTTTTGAATGTCCCGTGTCTGCACACTGCTCGATGGTATTGCTTTTTATCTCTAAATATTCTATAAAACAAAATTTTCATATGTTTACTTTATACTTTCAGGTAAACTTCTGCTGGAACCTGTAAATGAGCTGTCAAAAAAATCACCTAAGCATTGGAATGATAATGATCTTATGAATGATAATGATCTTATGCCGATTATTAAACTTCTCGCCGGGATGGGAGAGGAGACAACTATGATGGAGCTTGCGCGTTTAATATGATCAGCCCTGACTTTGATGCATACTTGAACGAACACGATAACACCTGTGGGTTGGTAAACACGACTTATGCCAACGTTGGTGGGATAGCAATTCCCAATTTCGGTATTAATAATTACCAGTTGGTTCACCGCATCCTCAACTAGTCAATTTCGCAAATACAACTTATGCGTGGGTCTTTAATGGTCATGACCGGGTGGCCCATGCACAACATTTAGTCGGGTGGCTCCAACGCTCAGTTCCTGGCCTTAGCTTATTTGTTTTTAATACCTCTTCTCAGGCTATACAATACTGATTATTTTAGTATATGTTTTTATTTTTTCCTAAATAGCATTTGATTTGGAGATCTTTCATAATTATTTTATTACTTGCTAACTTATAAATGTACACTAAAATACTAGAATACAAAGTAAAATATACTAATATATTGCGGAAAATAAATTATGAAATATGGATCAACCATCCACTCTTAAATTATTTCTATCATTAAAAATACAACAAAGTTCATATTATTATTTGCGAAAATATCTAGGGATGGGTTAGTCCTGGCAAAGCCGGTCCGCAAATCGGTTAATGAACCGGTCCACAAGGTCAATTATTTATCAATGAATATATTTAATATTGCATAGTGTTAAAATTATTATAATTCTAATTGAAATAACAAGTCATTTCGATAATGACATTCAGTCACTCTTTTTTTTAGTAGCAGCCACTTGATTTTCTAATATAAATAAGTCTGAAATAAATATAATTGAATCTTATATCTCCTCTTGTGGAAGTTCAATAATACTTTGATGTTGGGTTGTAAATATTATTTAGAAGCTAACGCAGTTATAATTGTTTATTATTATATGGTTTCGTTTAATTTTTAAAAGTTTATTTATTGATAAAGTTAGTAACACATGATATATTTATTACAAAATCATTTATTATCATGGGCATGAAATATATTAGTTATCTGGTAAATAACTTTTACATACTATACATCCAACAAAAATGACAAATTTTGTGTATTTCGAAAATAACATTTTGATACAAGACACTTGATGCATCGCAATATTTTTTTTTTAAAAAAAATCGATTTCGTGAGAATCCCATCTATTTTTTTTTTATTTTTTATATTTTATAATGTTAATATTGATTGATGTGAAAATTTTAGTAAATAAAAAAGTTTTAATTTTTTTCAAATATGAACGATTATATGAACCGGATTGTTGATAAGTCCGGAAACACTCCAACAATTAGTAGAACGAAAAAAAGAAAGAAATTCATTTGGCACAATTCATAATAAAATTGGAGCAAAAATTAATTGTTTAATTTATTATTATTTTTTATTAAAAAGAAAACTTTCTCTTTTTCCAATGGTTTTTCTCCAATTTCGTTTACCAACTAACCGATGATGAAGAATTAATTGGTTTTATTACCACTTTAAAAAAAGACGAAGTTAAAATTAAGGACAACACCTCGAAATGATAAAATGGTCACGTTACTATAAATCATCTCACTCACGTGATGAACCCTGGGCACCCTAATCTTTGAATTTATGAAGGATTTAATCATTTCGCCATGTTCTAACGCCATTTTCTCCTTATTATATATGCTTTTGTGTTGCTAAATATTTCTTTACTTTCAAAGCATATCCATAGAATCATCAAAGCCGAAGATGATAATAAAAGAACCGTTCTAGAAGTGATCCATAGCTATTATTTTTTTTGGGAAAGAATAGTTTTATCATTATAAAAAAACATATAGTGATGAAACATCTAATTCGGGCCAGGATAAAATTTCGGAGGTTAATCTTAAAAAAAGAAAAGAAAAGGCAATAAAGATCTTTAGGCATTGACTTTTTCTGAGGATTTTGATTATGTAATTTGCTGTCAAAAAAAATTTAATTTTTTTAGGTTAAAACCGAAAACTAAATACCATTATATGCTTTCTAGAAACTTATTCATTCGGGTGATTCAATGGTCTTATGCCAATACGCTTCCAAATAATTACTAATACCGTGATAAAAATTCCCTATAAACTAATATTGCACAGAAGTAATCGTAATCATGTGATAGTGCGCTTTTTTTATCAAGATTTTTTATATCATTAGAAAATCTATATCGTACAACATTTTTTTTTTATTCACAAGTATTTGAGAGATCTGTTATAGCAACATTTTATAAGCTGTATATAACACAAACCTTTATTTTACCTAGAAAAATAAAATGAGGGAATTGCCGTCCAGAGAATCTACTCTTTTTAAGCAAATTCTTGCAAGTATATCCTATATTATTGGTGTTTACTATATAATGCATGAATTTAGTATGACTGACTTAAAAGGTTACAAAATTTATATAGAAACACTATGAGTTTAAGCAGTATAAAAAAGGGTTGAAAGCTGCTGAACAAATATTGAAAAAATATCCTGAGCATGGAGGTATATATGAAATAATCATTTTTTTTTTATTATTTTCAAAAAAAAAAATTTTTTTTTGCATAATAAAAAAAGATGATTTTTTGAATTTTATTACTCTTTAATTTTTGTAATTAAATTATCATTTCATTTTTGATACAGAAACTTTGGCCATGAAAGGATTGTTCCTTAATCATATGGAGAGGAAAGAGGAAGCGCATGAATTCGTGCGCAAAGGCCTTCGATTTGATCTGACTAGCCATATTTGTAATTATATTATATTTCTGATGAATTTATTGAATTTAACAAAATCAGAAAGAAAACCATTTTTCTTTTCTTTTAGGTTGGCATGTATTTGGATTGTTACATCGATCCGATAAAAATTATGGTGAAGCTTTAAAATGCTATACTCAAGCATTAAAATATGATAAGGTAAATATGATTTTAAACGATTTTTTAAAAAAAGACTTGAGTATCATTTTAATTCCAATATATTTGTTTTTTTCATAAATTTTAAAGGATAATTTACAAATCCTTCAAGATTACTCCTTGCTCCAAATTCAAATGCGAAATTATGAGGCTTTTAATGTGAGACATAGAATATTGTATTAGTTTTTTAGCAATTTTTTTAATAATACTGTAAAAATTTCGAATTTATTGATAAAAAAATTCATTAATTATAAGGAATCAAGACTTCGTCTTTTGAAATTAAGATATAATAATCAGAGATATTGGATCGGGCTTGCTATATCTTATCATTTGTTGGAAAACTATGAATCAGCTGAAAAAGTATTGAAAGCTTATGAGGATACTTTAAAAGTAAATATCAAATAGATTAAGAGAAAACTGTATTTAAATTATAAGGTTTGATGATAAAGAATTCATTTTGTAGGAAAAGCCAGGTCCTATGAATTTTGAAAATAGTGAGATGCTATTATATCATAATCTTATAATAGAAGAGAGTGGCAATTTCGAGAAGGCTTTGGAGCATTTGGAATTTATTAAGGAAGATATCTGTGATATTCGCTCATGGAAAGAAAAGAGAGGTTTGAATTATCAACCATAACATTTAAATTATAGTATTATTATATTAATCGTTATATACTTTTTTGGTATAGCTTTATTTCTGTTGAAACTTAAAAGATATCCAGAAGCAGAAGAAGCTTACAGAGACTTAATATCAGTTAACCCAGATTGCTATAATTATTACGATGGTTTGCTATCATCAGCCTTTATGATAAGTTCTAGTAAGTATTTCCAATATCATATAAATCGGCAAATTTAACATGATCACTCACCGTAATAAGTTCATTTAAATTTTAGATGAGTTGTCTTCTGAACAACGCGAGCAAGTCCTCGACATTTGTCAAGAATTGGCCGCGAAATATCAAAGGTCAAATCTCATAAAACGACTTCCTTTACAATATGCAGTCGGTCAGTCTATCTTGTAGATGTTTATTATTATTATTATATATACACGTCTGTTTCATAATATCTTATTCTTTAATACATTTGAATTAAATGATTGTTTAGACGAGAGGTTTAAATTGGAAGTAGATAAATACATGCAAGAAGCGCTTAGAAAGGGTGTTCCTTCATTATTTGTTAATCTAAAAAAACTTTACGTTGATCCAGTGAAGGAGATTATAGTTGAGAAATTGGTTGAAGAATACCTCCAAAATTTAAAGACGAATAAATCTTTCACCAAAAGCTCAATTGGTGACGAGATTGAACCACCTACGGCGTTTCTTTGGGCCCTCTATTTATTAGCTCAGCATTATGATAATAAACGCGATACCATGAAGGCTCTCAAATTTATCGATGAAGCAATCGAACACACACCAACTTTAGTAGAATTGTATATGACAAAGGGCCGTATACTCAAGGTCCGAATTTTTACAGCTATGTTAGATGACGTAAATGCAAAATTAGTCTTACCAAATAGTTGCATCTTGGATGTATATAGCATGGAGGAGACCTTAGCAAAGCCATGAAAGTTATGGACGAAGCCCGAGAATTGGACCTTCAAGATAGATTCATCAATTCGAAATGTACGAAGTATATGCTCCGAAATGACCAACCGAAAGAAGCTATAAAAACAATCGGATTATTTACTAGAGTGTGTATAATTTATCTAATTAATTTTTTCTTTTAACATTATATGCAATATTATTTAACATGTTCGTTCTTTAAGGGTGACGCTCCTGACCCTTTAACGGACCTTATGGACATGCAATGTATGTGGTATGCACTTGAAGAAGGAGAGTGTTATAGAAGACAAAATAATTATGGCAAAGCTCTTAAACGCTTCCATCAAATCGAAAAGGTATAATTCAACATTTTAAGTTAGTAATTCTTAACTACATAAATTATAAATACCGTTTTGATAATTAATATATAGAGAATACATTGATAGTAACATGATATTTTCGATAATATTTAAGCATTTTGCGGATATAACAGATGATCAATTTGATTTCCATACATATTGTCTACGTAAAGTTACTCTCAGAGCATACTTGAGGTATGTCTATTTATTTTATTTACTTTCGCGTACATTATTAACTGTTGAAATTATGTATGATTTTAAATTTGCTATTTTGATGCGATATAAAAAAGCATGTTGCGACTTGAAGATCAGTTACGTTCACATTCGTATTATTTCCGTGCTGCTCAGAACGCTATTGAGGTACACATTGGCATTTTATTTCGTATATAATTTCTCATTTGTTCATACAAATTATCACATTGGAAACATCTAGATCTATCTTTATATAAATGACAATCCAAAAATAGTCGATGAAGTAAGCCAAAATTATGGTATGTTCGTATATTAGTTATTTTAAAAGTATAATGAAGAAATCATTAAGATATTATTAATGATAAATATGGATTATAATATTTGATAAAAAAAAAAAAAAAGAAAATATGACAGAAGAAGAAATTAAGGCAGCAAAAAAAGCTAAAAGCAAGGCCAAGAAGGCTGCACTTAAGGAGGCAAAAAATGGTAAGTACTATTGTTGATTGGAGTTTACAACATAGTCTCATTAAAAGGAGATTATTGATTTCTTAAATTATTGATTAAGTCACTCCTGCAAAAGAAGATCATTCGAAAAAGAAAGCTCAAGATGATGATCCAGAAGGCGAAAAACTTCTAAAGGTTTAATAATATAACTTTATTATTTTATTTATATATATAATAAATATTTATGAATTATTTAAAACTCCAAAATGTTTTTTCTTAGGTAGAAGATCCTTTAGATGAAGCATTTAAATTTCTTCAACCTTTGCAAACATTGGCTTCGCAAAGAATAGAAACACAACTTTTAGGATTTGAATACTATATTCGCAAAAGTTGGTTTTTTCTGTCATAATATAATTTTTATCATGTCTAGTGTCATCTATTAAATATTAAAAAAATTATTTTTATATTTATAGAAAAATATTTACTCGCTCTTAAGGCTCTAAAACGTGCGTATAATATTGACAAAGAGAATCCAATTTTGCACGTAAATATAATACAGTTCAAGTTAAAAGGTATGGTAACCATTCTAAATAATTGTTATTATTAATTTTAATAAATATGCTTAATATACTTTTTGTGTTGTTTCAGTCTCTATGCTTGAAAAAGAAAATAGTGATCAAAGGGATCCAACACGTAATCCAACCGAATACCAAGCAATTTTTAAGGTTGTTGATACCGAGTTACCAACTATACTGCCGTATGAAAATTCTTTGCAGGCATATAATGAAGAATTTTTAGCAAGAAATAAGGGATCGTTACCACATTTATTAGCTTGTTCGAATGTACTATTGCAGCTAAATCCTGAATCTAAACAAGAAGCTGCAAATATTTTAATGAATTCTGTCGAGGACGAATTCTTGAATACGAGATCATTAAAAGTAGGTGTTATAATTATTATAATTATCTTTTCAATTGAGCATTAATTTTATTTTATTTTATATAGAATTGCGTATCAGTATACGAGCAACTCAGAGACAAGTTAAATTCATCAAAAGCTGAAGAATTTAAGAATAAGTGTAAAGAATGGTTTTCAATCTCAACTTATTTTCACGATCTCAAAAAAAGTGTAGGTTAGTTATAACAGGCGATGATAAGTATCAACGATGATCAACTTTTTGTTACCTTTTAATTATTATAAAAAGATTATTTGAAATATATATAATATATATGTATTTGTGTGTTTGTGTTTGGATGGATTAATTAATCTTTTCTAAAAAAAAAAAAAATCAAAATATATACATGAATATTTAATTTTGATTGATACAAAAGTATTATTTGTATTTATAGATTTTAATCTTGATGCTTGTCTTATTAATAAAAAACTTTCGAAATTTTTATTCATTTTCTTTTACATTCTCTCTAGATACTAATATACATAATTTGAATAACGAAATTAATTTATTTTCCAAATTTCTTTATTAAATAATATTAATGTTTCATAACTCGGTATCTTCTTCATCCCAATCAAAATCACCTGCAGCTTCACTTTCTTGATGTAATTTAGTTAATCCTGTTAATTCTTCAAGATATGTAGGCGAGTCAAAAACGCGCTTAAGAAATTCAAATCCATTTATTTTATATTCTTCTAATATTTTATCAGAACAAGCTGTACATTTATCATAAGCTTGTCCAATAATTAACAAATTGTTAAAATTTGTTAAAAATCCACGAATTTGATGTGGTATGATACCTAAAGGAGTTGATGCTGCGCTAGAAGGGTCATCATTTGTATCGGCTGGTGCTGCTGGTCTATTAATTGATTAAACAGAAAAATTGATTAATCATCCTGTAAAAAGAATTAAATCATTTGATAAGTTACCCTTTTTCATGATGTAAAACAGAAATCATCAATTCAACGGCATATGCACCGGCAATCGCTGATAGTCCAGGTCGCGTGACCGTACATTGTTGGTCAAGGGTGCGATCTTTCAGGGAATCAATTGGTGCCACAATATCATTACAAAAATAACATCCTAAATGATCAACTTTTGGCATCTTGCTACTATATGCATCGGTTGATTTCGAAGCAGCATGTTGATCTTTGACTCCATGTCGCATGACAACATAAGTATCAAAGCCTAATGCTGTATTTATAACAAGCTAATAAAATGTGACGCGTAAGACATACATTTATATTACAATAATTATTAGAAAAAAAAAAATGAGGTAATCACCTTTCGCATGCTTGCGCCTAACATGGTGGGTAGCCAACGACTCTCCCTACTATCCATTAATAAAAAGACCACGTCATGTGATTCAACGAGTTGTTTGATTTTTTCAACGTCACTACGAACTTGTGATTCTGAAGTGATTGGATGTCCTGGCATTGGAATACTGATATCATGTCCTTCAGTTATCTAAATCCCAAATGACCAAATTTCAAAACATTTACATTGGAAAATAAAATAAACTTTTTTTTACTTACTACACCGGGATAAACTTTTTTTAAATTTTCGGCTGCAGTCCGCGCTTTAGGCTTGCCGCCTTCAAGACAATCCTCAAAGAAAAATAACGGTTGTCGGATAGGGTTTGAGAATGAAACACGTGCATTATCAACAAACGTTATATGGCGTACACCCCATCCCTTATATAACGAATCACGATTAACAACATATAGTGTGTGAAAATCAAAATCAATTTAAGAAGTTTGTCATACCAAGAGACTTCTTGCCACGTAACAACCTAAGGTTCCTGCACCAAGTAATAAACATTTTGTTTCTCTGATTTTTTCCAGTTGTAGATCTGGTACAATTCTCCATCGCATTAATTTCAGGTTTAAATCAACCGAGGTATCTGCCAATCTTATAAAATTATTGAAGAAATGAATGAAAGTTCATAAGGGAACGAAAAGAACTAAAACTAGATTTCTCACTTCTTTGGGTCCATAAGAGGTGCAAGGTCAGCAGAACGAGGACCAAGTTTTCCTTGGGAATTCTTTTCCCAACCTACACTTTTTGGACACTTGTCTTATAAGAATATTATTAAAATGCGTCAGTAATGTTAATCTTTACTGATTATAAAAAAGAATTGATTGTATTATTTATATAAAATACCAGAAATTGTGGTGGTATCAGGTATTTCAACCGTCAATATACGAGTTTGTGAAATATCTTTTTTTCCCGGAATCTCTCTGTAACATATCACTTTAATCTTATGTACGTTCCAGTGACGTTGCAAAAGCACTAAAAGATTACGCAGTGGCCATCCGGGATTTGTGAGCAAGCTCGAAGGATCAGCAAATCCAACAATTCTCTAATGAAGTATACGCTCATAAAAATTATTGAATTCCTATTTAATCATATCATTCATTTAACTCTTTATTCACCTCATTATCATGACAGTTTTCAAAGAATGTATCCCATTCAGATAGACTACCAATCATGAATTCATTTTGACTAGATTTTTTCACAAGGAAAAATCCTGCGTTTGCACCAGAATGTTTTCTAAAAAGATCATAATTTTCCCTAAAGCTTGCAATCTGATCAAATTGTTTGAAAATCATTAATCTAATTTAATCGAATTAAATAAAGGCGAGTAACTATAAATTATAATTAACCTCGTTATATTCCCATGAATCTCCAATGCTTTTTATTTGGCCATTTTCGGAGACACTCCACGGTGGTTCAGTTAATAAAGCGGGAAAACCAAACCAATAATGATATTTGTACTTCTTCAAATCGGCAAAAGTCAAAAGGAGAAATCGGGTAATCAGATACGGATTTTTTATCGCTTCACCAGAGGTAATATCCTGCCAAATCTAATTGATTTATACAAATAAAATTTTTTTTGTGAAGGAATACAAATCACATGACTTCAAAAGATATACTATAGCCTAAAAAAAAATAATAACATGAAACTTGATTCTTTTACTTGTTCAGTGATTTCTTTAAATAATGAAGTTTTGTCAAGACCTTTGAAATCTTCTATAGTATTAGTATTTTTTATTTTTCCAATCGAAGGATAAGAGAAAGGAGGTAAACTACATTAAAAAAAAGAAAAATTTGAAAGTTACGCGAATTATTCAATTATTTTAAATTGATATTATTTGGGTTCTTTCACGGAATTTAATCTTTACCGTGAAAAAGATTCTTCATTGGCATCATCGAAAGCTCCAGTGCCAAGACACAAGTGAGCTGGCATAGAAATGCTGGCCTCTGTAGCATGTTGTGAAATTACGGTACGACCAGTAGAGTAATAACCTAAAACATCATGTGAAGTATCATCTAATTTATATAAATCAATTTTTCTTGTGGATAAAGTATGCCAAAATGTGGCTTCAACAGCTGAAGAGAAAGTTACAAATTGTAATAGTGGACTAGACGACATTTATTGAAAATGAAAATGTAAGATTGGAATCCTAAAAAAAAATAAATTTAACCTGTTTTAAAACTTAAATAGATCGTCAATGCAATTGAGCACAAACCCCATTTTATTACCAAACAATTAGTAATAACTTTTTTTTTCAATAAAAATATTTTCTTTAAAAAGTTTATTAAACGCGACATTTTAAATCTTTTATTAACGATGCGAAATATCGTTATTTTCGGAGGCTCATCGCACCCTGCTTTAGCTGAGCAAATTGCTTCTCGTCTAAATGTAAATCTTGGCTGTGCAAAACTTTCAAAATTTTCAAATAAGGAAACAAATGTAGAGATCCATGAAAGTGTCCGAGAAAAAGATGTTTATATAATTCAATCTGGCTGTGGCCACGTAAATGATAATCTAATGGAATTATTGATCATGATATCAGCTTGTAAAATTGCATCCGCGGCGAGAGTTATCGCCGTGATACCCTGTTTTCCATACGCGAGACAACCTGATGCTCCTTACAAGAAAAATGGTGCACCTTTATCGCGGATTCCGAGGAATGCTTTTATCGGTTATACATTTGATACACCAGGCTGTCTTGATTCAACACCTACTACTCCTTCAAATGAAGTGAGAGATCCATTTGGGGCGGCATTTGCCAGATTTGAAGAGCAGAGGTCTGACGCTAGTTCATCTCGAATGTCTACTGGATATAAACATTGGATTGCTCGATCTGGAACGCTTATAGCCAATCTTATAACGTGTGCAGGTCATTACATAATAGATCAACTACAAGAAATAGTATTATTTTCAATTATGAAATATTATTAATACGCATTTTTATTCGTTTGCTTTCATTTCAGGAGCTGACCATATAATGACCATGGATCTTCATGATCCCCAATTCCAAGGTTTTTTTGATATACCTGTTGACAACCTTTACGGCCAACCTTTGATGATAAAATACATTAAAGAAAATGTTCCAAATTATCAAAGAGCAGTAATTGTTTCTCCGGACGCTGGTGGTGCAAAAAGGTAGAAAGAAACCTTGAAATTTTTTACGAATCTAACTTCATTTTCCTTTAAAATAAAACTTTGTTATTTTATTTTTATTAGGGCAACAGCGATTGCAGATAAACTTCGTATGGATTTTGCTTTGATTCATAAAGAACGTCGTTCTCAAAATCAGCCTAATAAAACCGACATGATGCTTGTCGGAGAGGTTAAAAACAAAGTGTGTATCTTAATTGATGATATCGCGGATACTTCTTATACAATTACCAGAGCTGCAAAAATACTTGGTGAAAATGGAGCAAAAAAGATTTATGCCATTATAACTCATGGAATTATGAGTGGTGATGCTATTCAAAGAATCGCAGCAAGTGTCATTGATCAAGTTATCGTGAGCGATAGTGTTCCACAAGATGAACATTTATTACATTGTACTAAACTGAGAGTCTTCAACGTTGCTCCAATATTTGCAGAAGCAATTAGAAGAATACATAATGGTGAAAGTGTTAGTGCGTTGTTCGATATTATGGACTTGATATAATCAAATTGTGGACGGATTTTTCGTTTCTTTGTAACATATTGTATAGAATATTGTTATAACTAAAGTGAATATTTTTGGAATTCTACATAAATAATTTGTTTGGTGATTTTCATTTTACACATTTATTATGGATTTTCTTTGATGCTTAAGAATCCATGGATGACTTAACACTTCCTTTATTGGCAAACGTTTACTGGGATCGCGTTGTAATAACTGTCGATATAAAAGTGTAAATTTTCATTCTGATTCAAAGAATCAATTTAAAATCGCCAATGTTAATTACTTACCGAAACGATTAAATCTTTTGCATCAACTGATACATGATCTGGGATTGTGAAGTCGACTTTAGCTATCCGTTTGTAAGTTGTATCTCTTCCATTACTAGGTTCTTCAAATGGTGCATTTCCAGTCAAAAGTTCAAAACATAAAACACCTAGTGACCAAAGGTCGATCTTCTCGTCATGAGGTTGATTGTCTACCATTTCTGGCGAAAGGTAATCTTTGGTGCCACATATAGTTTTACGTCTGGAAATGAATTGATTTAAGATTATCATTTGAATAATAATACTTTGTAAAATATTTATTTCTATACCTTTGACTTGGAGCGTGAACTGACCACCCAAAATCTGCAATTTTAAGTTGATCATTCATATCTAATAACAGATTCTCGGGCTTGATATCTCGGTGGATCACATGTTTCCCGTGAATATATGTTAAAGCTCCAGCCATTTGTGCAATATACTAATAAATGAAAAATATATATATATTGGTTAAAAATTAATTTTTAACAAAAACTTTAGTTGTAATGTTTAAATTTTCATACTCTTGAAGTTCTCTTTTCTGTAAATCTAGTGCATCTTTTGAGATGTCGATAAAGTTCTCCTTTGGCGGCATATTCAAGAACCAGGAAGACATACCTTTCATCATGAAAGTGACCGTAAAGACGGAGAATATTTGGATGTCTGTAAAAAATTATGGTGAATTTCATCGGTCATTATTTTTTAAAAAAAAAATTATTTTTGATTTACCTTAGATTAGCTTGAATTTCAACCTCGCGTACCAATTGTTTTTCCGCATTGCTTTTTCGTAATTCGGATATTTTCAGCACTTTGAGAGCAACAATAAAGCCACTTGTTTTTTCTTTTGCAATATAAACACGACCGAACTGTCCTTTTCCAAGTCCAATTCCAATATCAAAGTTGTTCATGGTCCATAGTCGTGGTGCTCTATATATATATATAAATATATTTTAAAAAAAGAAAATCAAATCAATAAGGATATATATATTCTTTATTAAATTGTTAAATTTAACATTATACCTGATTGAAGGAGAACTGCTGATGGCTTCTTTATTCTCTTTATTATCTTTATTATACATTTTAGTTCAACTTGAATAAATTTTTTTTTATTCTTAAATCGCGTCTTACATCATTATTAACAGGAAAGATTGATTTCATTGGTTAGTAAGTGACGATCTTGATAGATTTTCGGTAAACCATATTATTGAAACTCCGAATATATATCGTATTTTTATTTTTTTTATACTACTTTAAATATATATTTAAAAAAAAATATAAAATTAAAAAAATTAATCACAAATATATTAAAGAAATTAAATTAAAATTATTAGGCTGTAGTAAATGAAAAATATCAAGAGGAACAAAACTATATATATTCTTATTATTTTTATAAAAAAATATAAAGCCTGGATTAAAAAAAGATAGAGGTTAAGTGATACTATAATTAAAAACTTAAAAAGATAAAACTATATAAATGGCGAAAATATATAAATACCTTAATAAAAAAAAAACTATGTTTTGTCAAATCCAAAAGAGTTATCGTTATAATTGAATTTAATAGGCAAATATTATTAGAATTCCCCCTATAAATTATATATAGCTATAATTATAGCCTTTGATAATAAAATAATCTCCTTTAAATAAATTTTTTAAGGGTAACTAACATGATCTGATATATTACGTTTCTTACATTTTTTATTATAATGTATATATATATAGAATTTGGAGAGGCGTAATTATAAATAATTTAATTTAGTAATATATTATGACAGAAAAAATTTGACAGCTTGATCTAATGAATTAAATGACTTAAAAATAAAAATTACGAATAACGATATATTACTTTAATGTGTGACAGGTTACGCCGGATATATAATACCTTAAATTACATTTTTGGACATGATCGACAAATGATCGTCACATGCGCCACAGACGATTTTTTACGAAATTTTTTCCTTTTCAAAACCAAACCTTAATAAAACTTAAAAATCATATTGTAAATGTATTTTTGCTCGTTCTGCAAGTTTACTTAGAGCGGCGGGTTGGGTTTTTGCAGTATAATTTGACTTAAACGCTTTTTTTGAAAAAATACGCCACATACTTTAAGCCATATAATCGGTGACACATTAGAGGTATGCCAAATTAAATCTTTATTGCGTGGGCGACAACTAAATTAAAAAAAAAGTTTTTTTTTTATTAATATATTTTATTATTCTATGCTCTTTCAAATATATCATTTTTTTTTTTAAAAAAAAAAAAAATATATATATATATATATATTAAATAAATTAAACAATAATATTTTCATTAAAAAGTTATAACTATCATATAATAATAACAATACAAAATAAATAAATAAAAAATAAAACTTTTGTTACAAAACCTATTCTAATGTCCTTATTTTTTTTTTTTAATAATTCACCATTACAATCATATTATATATCTATAATATATTAATAATGTTTCTTTCTGTCTTCTCTCAAAATCAAAAAATTGAAATAAATATAAATTCATATTTAGTTAATTTTTTTAATTATTTTTTTTTTTAAAAAAAAATTAAATATTATTCCAATTGTCCTGTTATTTTTGTTATTTTTGTTTTCGATGATAAACACTAAAGAACCAAATTATTAAAATTTCATAAATTGGATCAAATAAATATGTTAAAAAGCAAAATACATAACTAAAAAAAAAAATTAAATCCGAATTATAAATGCATATTGATTGATAAAAAATAATTTAAATTCATCATTTTTAAAGTAAATGTTCAAAAAATCTAATGTATATATATAAGAAAATCTTTTCCTTAAAAGATAAATATTTTAAAGTACCGAGTTAAATGACAGTAAAATTGAATTTTTAATTCATCACAGTATTATACAGCGACATTTTGGTGCAGTTTCTACAGATTTAGGGTCTAAAATATTTTTAAAAGTAGTAAGATTTAGTAATTGATAAAAAATTTTGAAAACAATAATATTTAAACAAACCTTCGTTATCCTGATGTAACAAATTTTTTATAGTCAAATGTACAATGGTGTTTTGTCCGCGTTGAATCTTATTTGCTGATGAAGTTAAAATAATTAGTAATGAATCTTGATATATAAAAATAAATAATAACCGAAAAAAATATATAATAGAGAAAATTAAACCTACTTACATTCGAG